CGAGAAGAAAGTGTATTAATATTAATCTCTTTTGATTTCATTCTGCAGAGTTTAGAATTTCTGTCATGGTTCAGTTGTCTGCTATCCAGACTTCTTTACCTTCTTTGGGAGGAGAGCACAGCCAGTACAAACATTCAGTGCATTTTTAAGAAGGTCCTTGGGAAAATGGCCTCCATCCTTGTCTCACAAGCACACAAGGAGCTCTCTGCTGGCTTGACATCCACTTTGACATGTCTTTGTGACATGCTGACTTGGGAGGAAGAAACCAACTCTAGAATGTTTCTGGTGACAGGGTACATCAGAAGCTGTTTACCTGGCAGCTTGGTCGATGTTCTTGTCGACCTGGCAGGTGGGAAGGTAAGCGCTTTGGTAGACTTGGTATTTTAGAGCACGCAGACTAGCTTCTTCTTCTTTTTGTTGACACCTTTCCGTCTTTGCAGACGATGGTGTTATATTGCGCTATGAGGAGACATGGGACCCACAGCCCATGTTGATGGTGAGTGTGACTAGCAAGACCCGCCCATGTTAAGAAAAGTCTTCCACAATTATAGCATGGGATTTCAGGACCGTTGTTGCCATCATTTGTGTTAAGTGTGTTTCTTCTCAGACGCTCAGTTCTCATCCTTTCTACAATCAGTTCTTCCTCCATACTCATTCTCTTCTTGATTTGCCCCCTTCACGCAACATGATCCACAGCTATTTTGTAGCCACTTCTTCTTTAAGCTAAGCACAAACATTGTTGCATTGGGGACATTCCCATGGGCGCTCCATAACCATCTTCAGCAGCCGGAGCAGAGGTGCAGTTTTTGATGGCACTCGTAGCAGTCTGATTATATGTCCATCGTGCTTTTCCTCTTGAGTGCTGAATGTTATTCAGATCCCCTGATCACAGATAAATTTCTGCTCACACATTGTTCTTGGGGGAGTCTCTGCGGCTAGGTTAAGCCGTTTCATTCAGTTCACAAGTGCAGTTTTCACAGAGATCCCTCGGATCATTGCCAGAGCTACAGAGTTCATGCTTTGTGTAGTGCCCTCGGCAGGCAGCTAGCTTTTCTGCAGACAGAGCCATAGGGGATAAAACCCGGTGCAGGGAAGTCGATCCTGTCGACATTTACCTATGACCTTTAACTTTAACGCACTGTTCGCTTTGGGGGGGGGGGGGGGGGGGGGGGGGGGGGCGCGCGTTAGCGCAGTCGATAGGAGAATCACTTTCAGATCCAGCTGCGACTCGCTGAAGCCAATGGTCAGTGTTCTAAACCAGGGTTCACCCAGCCTCTGGGAAATGGGTACCAGATTTGACACTCTGGGGTAAATAGAGGAACTTTCTGTAGCTACGGAGCTTCCTGCAGACGGCGACACAGGCAGACAGTTTCTTATCAGTTGTCTGTACTGGTGGCAGAGCACTTATGGTTTATAACCGTGTGCTGTGACACTGGTTCACATCTTCCGACTTCACCTTTACACTATTCACTCACTGCCAAGGGCCTTGACCACATCCAGCAAAGTCTTCTTCTTCTACATTAAAAATAATTTTAATAACTTCTTCTGCACTCAGATTTTGAAGGACACAGCAATTTTATGACATGCTTGTTAGATAGGTAGTAAGACCCCCCCCCCCCCCCCCCCCCCCTCCTCTCCCAAGCCCACATAGGGAACATAATTTGTTTTATAGCACTATTTCATTAGCCTGATTGGTCTCGTGCTAATTTTTTCTGAATATTTCAAAACCATAGAAATTAGTTTCTATAGACGAATGTTGCAGATATGAACCGCAGTCTGTAGTTGCCATGGTGTAGAAGCTAGATGCTTGGCTACTGATTGGAAATCTTTGGTGTGGGTCCTAATGGAATTTGGAAGGCAATGAAAGAAAATTCCTGTCAGTTGCGTTTGTGGTAGGGAGAGATAATAAATGAGAGTTTGCAAGGGGGAAAATTCCTGACAGTTGCGTTTGTGGTAGGGAGAGATAATAAATGAGTTTGCAAGGGGGAAAATTCCTGACAGTTGCATTTGTGGTAGGGAGAGATAATAAATGAGAGTTTGCAAGGGGGAAAATTCCTGACAGTTGCGTTTGTGGTAGGGAGAGATAATAAATGAGATTTTGCACGGGGGAAAGAGAGAAGGTGGAGGGATAGAGAGAGAGAGAGAGAGAGAGAGAGAACAATTCTAATGGAGCAAGAATGTCAAGTGAGATGTTGGGTAAGAGTGAGAGTGAACAAATAAAGGCATGAAAGAAAAATGAGTTAACATTAGACCCTTCCACTAACTTTTCTGTGCCACTTTTACAGTTACTGTATTTTGCATTGGGGAAGTCGCTGTGGCGTAGCAGCTAGACGCTTGAGTGCGGATCTAGAGATCGTGGGTTCACTCCCTGATGGAGCCGGACTTTAAAAAAAAAAAATAACCTTGGCTCCTAGGTTGACTCAGCCTTGAGTGGGTACCAGGTGCAGTCCTGGGAAGTAAAGGCAGTTGGCGTGATGCTGACCTTATCACCCATCTTGTGCCGATTGGTCTATAAAAATATAGGTCAAGCCCCATATGCCCTATATGCCTAAAGGCGCGGAAAAGGGACCTTTACCTTTCTTTTCTTATATTTTGCATTTCAAATTCATTTTGCAAAAATCCCTGTGTGGGTACGGGACCCCATTGGATGGGAAACAAGCATGTTTATAACAAGCATGTCATAAGAGTCAACTAATTAGGGGTGTTTCCTTTGAAGTTAGTGTGTTTCCGTCTGAGAGCTAAGGAACCAGTACTCTGTATAGTCACGCCGTGATTTCGGTCACAGGCGTGAGGGAAAGTTAAGTCTGATGTGATGTGTATAAGGAGATACTCCGTACCTCACTCGGGTGCCAGTCCTTCACTGTTCTGGTTTTACGGAACCTCATGCAAGACTCCAGCTACACGTCCCACTTAAGCGCCATGGATAACGTCTTAAATGAGCATTAACAGAGTTGGCAGGGGATATCGGAGCTGGCAGCCCCCAGAGGTGTAGTGTCCTTTCCGACCCTCATCAGCCTGCCCCCAAACGCATGTGTGAAAAGTCTTTCAAAACTTATTCGGTACATGAGTAAGGTCTGCTTGGCAAATGTACCACCAAATGACAACTCTCAGTTAAAAGTCTGGAGCGAATGGAAAACTGTACTGCTGAGACTCAACCGGTGACCAAGAGATTTACCCGCAGCCCAGACGAGTAACATCCCTTACATTTTCTATACTGTCGTGCTAAGGGCACAGTTGAAACAACGTTAGTGGTGTCTAACGTGCAATAAAGAAGAATCTACCTATTTTTGTGGCCACAAAAGTCCAGAACCCACGGGCTGATCTCCGGAGGGCGCAGCCCATATCGAGCGGGAAGCCTAATACGGTTGTGAGGTTAAACAGTTATGTGCAGGACGTGACGATTCCTTGGGTGTGCCCAGAACCAGAGCATTATGTGTCGGTTCTGCATCTATGGAAGCCTCCTTGGATGGCGGGGAATGCCCATGATCTGCCCCTGCCTTCCCTTGAGGGCTAACCGTTCCACACAGGGCTGCCCCAAAGGGGGTACTCCGGGGGCAACACGTGTGGAGAAAGGGACAAAGAGGTCACCACACAAATAAGGTAACATCTCGACCCACACAAAACATTGGCCACAGTCACCCTAGAAATAGGCCTGATGTCTTCCCTCGAAGTCGGAGCACATCTGCCGCGAGGCAGGGAACGGCAAAAGCCAGTAAAACGGTTGTACACGCAAAACTCAAGTCCAGGTAAGTGCCTAAAGTTCAAGCGGAAGATTAACCTGGACCTCCCGCCGGAATTCACAGCCGGTGAACGAAGAAGAAGAAGAGTACTCTGTATACAAATAAATCAAACCTGTAACATGGATGTGCTCGCAAAACTCAGGTTCTGAAACAAGTTTAGATTCCAGAAGTGGACAAACAACCAGAATGTTCTACTGGAATTTACAGCTGGTGAAGGCAAAGAAGAAGGAAGATTTTGCAAATGTACATACATATACACAGAGTGGGAGATTTCATGTTTATGTAAAATTTTATGTATACCGCATGTACCTTAATCTCATTTGTATTTACAACTGTTTTAGATTCCATCCATGATATAGAACTGATTGCAAAAGATACAACAGATTTGAGGTTTTGAACAATGGATCAACATCATGTCATACGGGTAGTAACCCATAAGAACTCTGTTCTTTTTTTAACTCAAGTCTAAGTCCAAAAAACGCTCAGCACAGTGCACAGGCTCCATAGCATTGGCAAGGATGCTGAAATACTTTGGGTAGATTTTTAACTTAATTTAGCCCAGGCAGCGCCGTTAGGCTACTCTTTTCAATTTCCAAATGCCAAGGGATTTTTTCAGTGCACATGGGCATCCGATCTCACTACCCAGAGACCAGGGGGAATTACTAGAAATCCAAGTCCACGTGAAAAAATCCCAGCCCTTACCAGGGATTGAAACCGGAACCTCCAGCACTCGAGGTGGACACCATGCCTGGAGACCATGGAGCCCCCCTCCTCCCCAATAGAACAGAATGTAGGAATAGACTGCAAGCCCAATGTGACATATTGATAATGAATGAATGAGTTGTCTTTGTGTCACAGTATAATTTTACTTATACCACCTACTCATCATGGTATGGGGCGTCGCAGGTCTGCCCAGCCTAAAATGGGTACCAGGATGTTTATCCTGGGGAATTAGAGACGGCCGGCGTAATGCTGACCACATTACCCACCTAGAGTCGATTGGTTCCCAAAAAAATGGGCGCTCTTCCCATATACCCGATGCCCCTAAGGCGTGAAAAGAGATCTTTACTTTTTACTTTACTTTTACCTACTCACATTTGTGCGTGTGATAAATATTTATAGTTCCATTTAAATCATAAATATCAATATTATTTCTTGCACCAGTTCAACAGGAGAAATGATTCAAAACCAGACTTGTCCAAAAAACCTGGACACGCTGATAAGAAGGATACTCTGAGCGCTAAGAAGGTGGATCGTGACATGGAGTTTTTCTTTGACATGGCTGGGCCTTCACACTTCAGTGACAACAATAGCTGTGATGTCACCTTTGATGCCGAGGATAGCTTAACTGATGCCGAAGCTGGAGCAGGGGTTGGTCAAGGTAAAGTGTTAGTTAGTTACTGTTATGGGACCCCACATGTGAATCCTAGAATCCCATTTTGGAGGGTAAAAGAATAGACCCCCCAATCCGCCCTAACATGTAGTTTGTCAAAGACGACTAGTTAAGGGTGTTTCCTTTGAAGTCAGAGGGCATCTGCTTGAGATTCAAGAAACCAAAAGTCTGCATACAGATGAGCCAAATTTTTCAAACACATGTTCTGGAACATGACCAAAGTCCAGAAGTGAACGAACAACCAGAATTTTCTGCTATAGTTAATAGCTGGTAAACGTTAAGAAGAGGTTATGAGACAAGTTCTATAAACATTTGTTTACAATTTATTATTTTTAATTTAAAGCCAATCTGTGTGAGTTCCGTGGCTCCATTTATAGAGAGAGATAAAAGGGGGTGGGGAAGTAGACAACTTCTCACCAAGAATGTCATAAAAGGTGACTAATTAGGGGTTCACTAAAATCTGATGTGTTAGATCAAAAAGCAGAGATATTGCAGCTTAGCTGAAAGCTACAACACAACATGCCAGCCACCCTTTTAAGAACGATTACAGAAGAAAAATGATTTAGTGCTGTATATTTGATAGTGGCCTTTATAAAAAAAAATATTTTGTTGTGCTCAGCTAGACAGTGTTGGCATCTGTTGCTTTGTGATAGTCAACATAGTTTCATAACTTCAACACACTGAGCTTTAAAATAAAATCTGGCAATTTATCAGCAGTTTGCTTTGTGTTGAGTTCAACAATTGTACAAGTTGAGATATTCTAGATTCATCATCATCATCAATCAGTCCTTTGCAGAACGTCGCTCTTTTCACAGCACACCTGAAAGTTTCTTTTTCCCTAGCCAGCTTTCTCGCCCCTCCATCACCATCTTTTTCCAAGCCATGATGACATTTTATGTGGCCAAAATACTTCAACTTTTTGGACAGGACGCTGTTTATGAGCCAGTTTTCCTTGATGTTTAACTCGTGTAGAATGTAGATGTTTTCCCCCTTCTTGATCCATAATATTCTGAGAATTTTTCTGTAACATTTTAATTCAAAAGCACCACTTCTTCTTCTTTAGTAATTGCGAGTCCAGGACTCACAGCCATAGGTTTCCACAGGAAAAATTCATGATCTCAGGATTTTTACTTTAACTAATTTACAGGTGCTTTGCAATAGGTTCTTCATGCTGTTTAATCTCTGCACACCCTCTAGGACTCCAGGTAATGTGTACCAGAGTTAACACTCTGGGGTAAATGGAGGAACGTCGCTGTAGCTACGGAGTTGAGTGAGGACGGCGACACAGGTGGATAGTTTTCTTATCAGCTGTCCGTACTGGTGGCAGAGCACTTATGGTTTATAACCGTGTGCAATGACGCTGGTTCACATCTCCTGACTTTACCTTTACCTAAATCTGTGCATTGCTAATTCTTCTAGATTGATACTGAATTTTTAATTTTCTGTCAGGCGTCAACCCCCTATTTATGTCAACACAGTGTCAGAATCATTCCTTGTCTTTCATCAGATTTCAGCAATTTCTTGAGCAAGGAGAACTTGACTGAAGCTGATCAGATGCAGATACTGTGCTGTGAAGTGCTGTGCCGGATAACAGCATATGATCCTCGGCAGCTTGATGCAACCAGAAACCAAGTTCTAATCCGGGCAGAGATGGATATGGATCTGGTTGTCTCCAGGTTATTGAAGCTCATCAGCTCTGAGTGTTATCATCCCGGCTCGAGTGTCTGTGTGCATTTGGTAAGAGAGTTATACTAGTTGGTCAGTGGACATTCTTACTACACATTGAAGCATTCAGTTCTCAGTTTGTCTTTCTTGTGCCAGACATTCCTGTAGCATAGACATTAGTGAATATGATTAACAATTTCTTGATCCCTGAGCACTAGTCTTCAGTTTCTGTAGTGGATGATTTAAAAACAAAAAAGATGTTTTAGTCAGAAGTATAAGAGCAAACTGACTCATGAAGAGAACTGATTGCCCACATCAGAAAGAGACAGTCTGCATTCTTTGGTTGGGTGACGAGAAGGAGAAAACTGGAGTACATCACGACAGTTGGAAAGTTGGAGTGTAGGAGAGGCAGAGGGAGACCGAGAGAAAAGATGCTGGACAGTTTGATATCGTGGCATGAGGGATCATTTGTGTCAGTTGATAAAAGTACACAAGACAGATGGTTGTGCACAGACATGATTACCAACGCCACACGGCATGGACTTCGAGAAGAAGGTAGGAGACAGAAAGTTGTGGATAGACATGACTACCAACGCCACACGGCATTGACTTTCAGAAGAAGTATAGGAGCAAAAGTGACCAGAAAAGATAAAATCAGAAATGTGGTCAAAGAGAAAAAAACTGGCTCAGAACCAGTTCTAAATTATAACAAAAACAACAAATCAAATGATTTGCCCACTTAGAGAGAATGCCATGTGAAGCCAATGAGACAAGGCATACACCATAAGAGGAGAAGGACATAGAGCACAAGATAGACCAAGAATATGATAGAAAGATAACATCGGAGACACTCTACAACAGCACTATGTGTCTGTGGTGGAGACAACCAGAAGAGTGAGAAGCAGAAGCTTATGTCTCACATAACGCCCAAAGCGGTAAAAGAGGAAATGAAGAAATGTTGCAAGTAACACCCACAATCCCTGGGACAAAGATGAAGGGTACTGCCAGCACACTGGAGTTTTGCAATGACTCAGTCCACTGCACATTGTTCGCTCATGTCTGGCTTCACTCTCTTTGACTTGCTGTTCTTACAGTCTGGTCAAGGTTTGTTCAAGGTTGCTTCCCATCATCATCATTCTATTGAGCCCTTATTATGTCACATAGGGCTTACAGTCTGTTCTTTCATTCCCTTTTATCCTATACAGTCTTTATGATATCATGGATGGAATCTTTCATTTCCTTCTACCCTATGCAGTCTTCATGATATCATGGATGGAATCTTTCATTCCTTCCCATCCTATGCAGTCTTCATGATATCATGGATGGAATCTTTCATTCCCTTCTATCCTATGCAGTCTTCATGATATCATGGATGGAATCTTTCATTTCCTTCTATCATATGCAGTCTTCGTGATATCATGGATGGAATCTTTCATTCCCTTCTATCCTATGCAGTCTTCGTGATATCATGGATGGAATCTTTCATTCCCTTCCATCCTATGCAATCTTTATGATATCATGGATGGAATCTTTCATTCCCTTCTATCCTATGCAGTCTTCATGATGTCATGGATGGAATCTTTCATTCCCATCTATCCTATGCAGTCTTCTTGATATGGATGGAATCTTTCATTCCCTTCTCTCCTATGCAGTCTTCTTGATATGGATGGAATCTTTCATTCCCTTCTATCCTATGCAGTCTTCTTGATATGGATGGAATCTTTCATTCTCTTCTATCCTATGCAGTCTTCTTGATGTGGATTCAATCTTTCATTTAAAAATCTGCATTTGGCCAAAAGACAGATCTTCACACATTTTAAAGTTTGCAGTTACCAAACCTATGTTGCCTTTAAACAATTTATTACCAGCAATTTAAAAGATAAACGTTTAAGAGAATTAGAGAGAGAAGGAGGAAAAAAAAGAGGTAAAGGAGGGATGTAGAGAGTTGAGTGAGGAAGAAAGAGGGGAAGAGAGAAATGCTGTTTCTCTAAGTCCTATTATCAGAAATGTATATTTGCACACCTCATTTGTTATGTTTCAGTTGCTGACTATCTCCAAGTATTTTCTAACTTGTGAACATGAGGTCACCCTCAAGAACATAAAACTGATTCTCACAGCCTTCAAGTAAGTTTTAGAAAGATTCATACATTTTTCTTTTCTGTCCATCCACTTCTGGTCTTGTATGAGTTATGCGTTCATTATCTTCGTGGCACTCCGGACACGTCCATAGGTGCTCAGATTCCACCTTCAACATTTACATCTAGTACATTTGCTATGCCTCTCATGCTTGGCTGTGCCGATCTTTACTCTTGAGTTCTGACTTTCTTAGCAGTTCTTCTTCTCCTTCTTTCGTTCGCTTGAAATAGATTATCTGTATCTCCAATGTTGTCTCTAGTATGAACTTCACTGTCTGTTGTAATTCACTCAGCGACCCGTAAAGTTCGACTTGCACCGATGTTTCTCTTGGCCAAAAATTTTACCATGATGTGTTGTATTTGGGACCGTCTTGGAGGAAGTGATCTGTTGTCTCATGTGCCAATCCAAATGTGCACATGGCTGATTCGGCGATTAACAACTTTGTGTACATGTGGCTGCGAAGTTGATTGCGCCCTGTTCCAAGGTGTAAAATAATAACTTGATTGGTCTGTCCAGAAAATGGTAAACGTCTTCTGCTGGTTTTGGTGGCCTTCTAATTGATTTGATTATTCTCTTCTTCTGTTGATAAGAGACTGTTACTTCATGCTGTTCTTCATTTGCACCTTCCTTAACTAGATTATCAGCTCTTTCATTTCCAGGAACTCCACAGGGGGATGGTATCCATTGCATAGTTAGTTACCTTACACAGGCTGCCTGGTTTGGAGAGTAGTGGTAGGTAGTTTTCCAGATTGGATTGTCTGAAGTACCACTCTTGCATCTGTCAGGAATACCACGGGTTGTGAAATATGACATGTAATTAACAGTTTCTCTGCTGCTATTTTGATGGCTTGAACTTCTGTATCATAGTTGTGACAGTGTTTTCCTGTAGGTATTTTGGCTGTATATCTGGTATTATTTGGATGCTCAGTATACACTTCTGCTTCTCCATTTCTGCTTGCGTTTTGTGCTGACCCATCCGTGTAGATACAAACCCAAAGCTTTTGTTGGTATTCTTCATCATGTAGAGCAAGGATAACTGTTTTATGTTGCGCACAGTTTTGTTCTTCCTTGTCGAATACTCCTTTCTCCTCTGTCTGGATGTGTATTGGCAACTTATAATCCTATTTCCAAGGGGTCTGATCTGGAATAGCATTCTTAGCAGTGATGTGGACATGCTGCTCCCAAAATCCTACAGTCGTCCTTTCTAACGGCATTAACAATGTCGGCACAATCTATTGGCAGGCCATCTGCAACTAAGGTAGAACCGGCCAGTTTGTCAGGTATTTGTTTATCACCAACACCTGTATGTCCTGGGACAATGATGAGGGTATCTTGAGCTTGTTGTGTATTTACTTTTTTTTAAAATTATTGTCACCTCTTTTGTGCCTGCTTCTGGTGTTGCTTTTCCCTCTGATCTTCTTACCTTTTTTTAAAATCTATCGACGTGAGAACTTTGTCCAGCTTTAAGCTTATCTTTTCACTGATGAGCTTCTTGTGTGCCCCCTTACCATCTTATTGTGTGTCTGTCTCTGATTTAAGAAGACAAGCCACACAATAGGAAGACTGCATTGACCCACGAAACTAACCAGGAAGGCTACCCCAGTCAACAACTGCCCGCAGAAGTCAGATGTGTTGGTCGAAAGAGGCAAATATCACTTGAACGGACACAACGATTTACATCTTCAGATGAACACAGGGGGAGAAGAAGAAGAAGAAGAAGACAAGAAACATGGAGACCCTTAAACAGGGCTACTCAACTAACTAAGTTCACTTAAGGGCCATCATATTGAAAGTGGGATCGTCATTGGCCAGAGGCCCGAACTCCGTTGCAGAAAGATCATTAATACAGTACAGCTGGCAGTTATGTGCGGTCACTTTTTAGGCTTGGTGAGCCGGAGTTATCCAGCGGGCCGCCAGTTGAATAACCCTACCCTGAAAGATCTGAACGTCAGGACATATTGGCTCGTAAACAGTGTCTTCTCTAAAAGTCAAATATTATGACCATAAGAGCACAACAGTGGATTGGAAAGAACAGTAGTGGAAGGTATGGTCCTAGAAAAGAAGGCAGGGGTCGATCAGCACTAAAATGTGGATAGGATTTAAGGGGCACCTTGGGTAGGAAAGAGCATGAAATAAGAAAGCAATTTCTGGTGCCAAGCTGCATGGACACATCTGTTTTTCTTACAATGAAAAATGTGAACATGTTGGTGAAGTCTGTTGTGCCCTGTCCTTAGTGTTTCACTTTCATGGATGAAATCCAATCTTGCATCGATTTTTTTTACACAGTGGTGAAATTAACAAGTATTGTATCTTGAAACCTCTTTCAGGCAGACTGCGAAAGAACTGGTGAAAGATCAGCAGGTGTGTTGCAGGATTCTGTCACACCTGCGCTACATCATTCCACATCTCACTGGTGAGGACAGCACATCTGAAGAGCTGCAGTTTTGCCGAGATGTCTTCCTCAAGTTTGTGTCAGATTTCTGGTATGTTCTTTGACTATAAAGCTGATGTAATTTTTCATTGCCTCATCATCATCACCGTAAAGCGTGCACTTTGCAAAACGTCACTCTCATCATGGCACTCTGGAAAGCCACTCAGTCTCTGGCAGATAAGGTGTTTCTTTGGATGCATAATGTGGTAGTTTCCCCTTGCCTTCCACATCCACATGGTTTTATACTGTCCTCAGCCTTTAGCAACTTTTCAAGATTGAGTGAGTGCCTTACCTTGCAATACTTTTAATGATATCAAGGAGTTCGGAAGATGAATCCACTTATCTCAGTGGATTATCAAATGGATTTCATTGACTAGAATGTGTTTTAATATAGTGTTTACTATTTTATTTATGGTTACTTGTTATTTGTTATTCGTACTGGTATCCTTGCCCATTGGTCCAACCCATTCGTGCTCTGTCCTCCTTTGCAGCAGCCATTATCTCC